CCAGGGGGCGCCTTCCCCGGGCGCGTGGCTATGGAGGGGGCCCCGCCCCCGGGCATGCGGCTGGGGGGGCCCCGCCCCCGGGCGGGCAAGTGTCCCCGCCCCCTGGCGCCCGCCAACCTGAAAAGGTTGGGGACCACTGGTCTAGACAAGCTCTTGTATTCATTATAGTTAGAGCTGGTAGCAACACATCTAGTTAAGCTTACCCAGTGCTTCCCATTGTAAGATCTATTTTCAGTTGCTTATAACTTTTCCAAACTTTCACTGTTCATAGTGAGTGTAATTATCCTGAGCTGGTTCTTTTTGACATTTTAGGAGAAATGATTCAGCTTTTCTTGAGACTGGAATTAAGGGAAAATACATTGTTTTGGCCTAATTTAAAAATGTTTTTGTTGTATTGAAAAGCTCTAGACCTCCATGCTTTGAAATTTGGCTACAGAAGGGGCTGTCCTGGATATGTACTTTTTGTTGTTCTTGGAATAGTGGAGGGAGAGAAATGCCTGAATTAGTCAAGTTATAAACCTTTTATGTCTGTTCACACATGCTCAGTAGAGACTTGTGGAGTTGGCAGATAGTTAATGAACATTCCATCAGCACTGAGCATGATCCCTCCAGCCCAGGGCTCTTGGGGTCCTTCATGACTTCCTTGCAATCCTGGTTGCTGCAGGCCCCTGTGATGTCAAGTGCAAGGACTTAAGAACACAAAGATTGTTTGTGCTCCCATTATGGTTTGTGCTCCACTGAGGAGAGCATGAGTTCTTGCACTAGAGGGAGTAGACTGGAACAGAACAAGGAGTCTGATACTGAAACTAAGGGAAACATTTTGGGGAGAGAAGGAAGTAGATCAGATAAGACTCAAGAATGGAAGGGGTGAAGAGACCGGGACTTCTAAGTTATGTTTTGTTCATTAATAAAAGATTATTCTTGATATACTGCTACTGTAATTTGTGTTAGATTTATAGTACTAATAAAAGGGATTGAAGACAACATTCTTGTAAATTAGAGTTTTATTCCTTTTTATATATAGTAATCACATGGCTAAATAAGCAACTGAATGAAATTCAGATGGCAAGAAAGCAAGAGACTTTGGGAACGTCTACCATTCCACCTATACATTCAATCAGTGGCAGTATTAGAACTGGCCCATTACCTCAGAATACGGTAAGAAACCCACATTTATAAAACTTGGTACTTCCTGTATGTTTTTGGAAATATAGATACACACCAAGTGAAGTATTCTCAGTACCTAGTAGAAATGCTTTGGTATTCCTTTTGCCACATAATTTATTTTTTTCTCATTATTCAGTGCAATGCTGTTAAAGGATGCAAAGAAAAAACAAACAAACAAAAAAAAACCCACCACTAGTATCATAATTAAAAACTTCCTAAATTCTCATTCTCTTAAATAAACAAAGTAAACTATTACAATACACATGTAATATGTTTGGGTTTATGCATATGCATAAGTATATGCATCTATATATGTCTCATGTTCTTAAGATCCTTCTATAAACAAGTCAAGAATGTGCTTCTCAAATAGTTCTTCACACTGCACTTATGCCCAACACCAGAAATTTTGTGGTGTACATTCCTTTCCTTGTCGTTGCTTATCAGTAGTTAGATTAGTTGCTGATAGTTATAGTTAGTTTGCAGTGGTGATATAAAAATATACAAAAACTGTGTAACTGATCAAAATTCTATAGGTTACATGGCTAAACATTTTACCTGGGATGTAGGCTTACGGAGGGAAGGGTGTTGGAGGGGCCCCCCTAATGCTGGGCTCTCAGATTCTGCCCCAAACTTCGAGTTCTGCCCCTTTCCCAGTGTCCTGCCAACTGGCCTTGCTGCCAGCACAATCCCAACAGCTGGCCCCACACCAGTCTCAATATCAGGGGCTTCCAGCCACCAGCAGGATCCTGGCAGCTGAATTTAACCATTAACAGAAACCAATAAGCATCAGCATATCAGTTAAATGATTAAACTCTTACATCCCTTGTTTGCAAATAGCTGTAGTTAAAGAAGTTTGTAGTACTTGGGGACTTAGGGTTTGCCCAGATCTCAGGGTTTCAGCCTTGCAGTTAGGCTATGTAACACATGCTAGAGATGCTGCCAAGCAGAGGTGAAAAACTATTTTGTGTTGCTCTTTAAATAATGACTGGTTATTTATCAGGTGGAAGAGGATGTATAGGTATTTTTTTGTCTGCCTGGAATATCTAGAGCTTCTGATAATCTGGTTAAAAAAACCCACAACACCTACATGCAGAATCTCTTTCACTTTAGATTCAAAATTTCTTTTAAATGCATGAAAAAAGAAAACTATTTTAACATTAATAGAAATTACTGAAGAAAATACTGTGGGTGCATCTTACTGTTAGATATCTTCATTCTTCAGCTTCTAGAAATGATTACTAACGCATGTTACAGATATTTATTACATGAACATAGCTTTTTAACTTAGGGCTAGTAAGATACTTTAGAGAGCACAATAGAAGTGAAGAGTAAAACAAAATCTTACAAAATGTTTTTATTTAAAGAGACCAATTCAAGTAGGCCTGCTGGCTCTTGAGATGTGTGGCACAATGCTTTTATGGAGCTCTCAAATCTATCAGTCAATATTTATTTGGTTATTTGTTTCATTGTTTTTTGGTTCCACTTTTATTTAGCATGTGCCCATTTTACCTCAGCTAGCAGGTTTTACTCCTCTATTGTTCTGTTCCCCTTCAATAACTAAGGATTATAGATCTGCAGCCATTTAATCTAAAGAATTGTTTGTATTGCTACATTTTCTGTTTGTTGCAGAGTCTTGTGTGATTTACATACACTTGTAACAAGAGTATATTAGTCAAATCTTGTGGTTTGCTAGAGGAAATGTGCTGTAGGTTGGACCTCTCTGGTCCCGCATTCATGAGACCTGAGTGGTCCTGAACAACAGTTTGCCGGACCATGGGAGGTCAGGCGTCCAGCTCTTCCAGGGCTCCCCTCTGGCCAGTGACTGCCCCCATCCCACTTGCTGGGCCCTGCTGCTCCAGCCTACTGGTGGAGTGCCTCTCCAGGCCTCCAATGGGCTCTGTGCCCCCAGCCTGCAGGGCCTCACTCCAGCCAGTGGGGCGTCTCTCCGGTAGTGAGCCTCGCTCTGGCAGGCAGGGCCTCACTCTGGCCAGCAAAGCTGTGTGCTCCTGGACGACAGGGCTTCTCTCCAGCCACCAGCCTCACTCTGGCTAGCAGGGCTCTCCCTGCCCCCCACTGTCCCAGCCAGAGGGGCTCTGGGGCTCTGTGCCCCGGCCAGCAAGGCTCCCTGCCCCCATCCTAGTGGCCTGACAGCCTCTGCAGCTGGGGCTTTCTGGTCTAGCAACATCTGTGGTCCTACCAGAAAACAGATGTTGCCAAACCAAAGTCCCAGACCACAGAGGTTCAACCTATTATTCAAGGTAAGCAGTATTTTACTACATCGTTCACTTTCTACAAATATTCCTTTTAAGAATATAGGTGTAGGAAAACAAGTATTTTCCTGTATGTTAGTCACTGTAATATAGAAATACTAATTTGTAATGATATTTTATAACTACAAAGGTCAGTTTTAAATTTTTATGTCTAGGCTTAGTGAAATTAAATGTTCATTGAACTGTGCCAGTTGAGATTAAAAAAAAAAAAAAAAGGAATAAACAATAGATTGCTGGAGCTAGAGATGCACTCAGGAGCGGCCTGAGGCCGGCTGCAGCAGCTGGAGCCCTAGGCAGAGGCGCTATCAGCGCCCGTGCCTGCACGGCCGTCAATGGCCATGATGTCATCATCAGGCCAGCGGCGCCCTAGGCAACTGCCTAGTTTGCCTAGGCTCATGAGCCACCCCTGGATGCACTGATTTTGATTTTCTACTTTTCCACTTCTGTTTCCTGCTCCTTATATGCATTTCATTTTTCTCTCATACAGCTTGACAACAGATTCCCCTTTTCTAGCTCAGGAATCAGTTACCCCATCTCTCCAGTATGTGCTTTCCAAAGCTTTCCAGAAACAGCACCTGTGAAAAATACCAACCACCAGGTTTCGGGACCAAAGGCAGGCATTTACTTTTATTTTATGCTTAACACACACATTTCTATCTATATATTTTTGAGAAGTTTGACTTAATTGGATATTTCCAAAAATTAACACAATTTGTATTTGTGCGCTATGAGCTATGGCTTCTGTGTTAAGTTTCAGCAAAAATTTGGCTATAATAATGGTAATAATACTTAACATCTTCAAAGGAATTTATAAACCCTAATTTTCATGACTCTCCTTTGGTGTATTTTCAGTCTTGTCATGAATTCCTCTTTGAACAAAAGCTACACAGCAAATTAGTTGTAGCATTAAAACTAGAACACAAGAATTCCTGGTAGTTGCTGCTGGCTTTTAGTTTATACACAAGAATAGCACATTTGTATTTGATTATAGTAATGTGAAAAGTTCTCAAAGTCAGCAAGGTTCCTTTTCATTTGTTCCTTTGTCTATCTTGTTGTGTTTCTTTAGTTTACTGTAAACCACTGTTATAAGGAATAAACACTTCATATATTCTATACTATTTTGGATTGAAATTACTATGGCTTGTTGCCATAGTATTCTTATTTCAGAGTATCCCTTGATGGCATAGAATGGTCCTGTAACCATCCCACCTTTTTGTTCCATCTTGTCAGGGCTCCTCAGGAATACTTATCCAACACTGTTAGGCTAATAAGACCCATGTCATGGAGTAATCTGTTACTAATAGGGGTGCTTCAAATCACAAACTGAAGTTCAATACCATAACTCAGAGGCGTTGGGCTTTGCTGTTCTTCAGACTAGAGGATTTCCTGACTTAACTTTTGGAGTCTCTTCCTAGAGATCAATGGTTCAGAGCAAGTAATAATGCAAACATTGTCTGTCCACCTTAGGCGTAATAAAAGTCCCTGGTCTCTTCCAGATTCAATCTCAGCCCCTTGCCCTTGTGGCCAAAGAGGTGTTTCCCTGGGTTTTGCTTCTGGCCCTCCTCCCTATACCTAGCGAGTCCAGCAAAGCTTTCTGCCCTTGCAGCCTCTTTCTACTTTTTCCTGCTGCTTTCTGAGTAGACTTGAAGGATTAAATTTTCATCAGTGAATGTCTATAAACATCAATTTCACCTCCCCCCCCACACACCCCCAAAAATGTATTTCTGCCAATCAAAATTTGCAGATTGGCAACATAAAAAATAGGCTGTTTGAGACATTTGTTGATGAATATTTACTTTGCATATTTGTATGTGGTTTTAAAGCAGGGATGGGCAATAATGTTTTGCCGGGGGCCACTTCAGAAATTTTTGAAGTGGCCCTGGGCTGCACAGGAAAGGGTGGGGCATTGAGCAGAAGGGGCATGGCCAAGATATTTCCGGGTTCCCCACTCCACTCCCAGACGATGATTGATCTGGGAGTGAGGGGGTGCCTTTGCCCCCACCCCACGTTTCCCCAAGGTGCCTATGCCCCTGGCATGGGAGGAAACTTCCTTCGCTCCCCTGCCCTAGGCTAATTAGAACCTGGGGGCAGGGGAGTGCGCAAAGTCTCCTTCGCTCTCCTCTCACCCTCCCTTGCCCCTCTCCCTCCCCCCTGGTGAGCTGTTCGTGGCACTTCAAAGCGCTGCATGGCGGGAGGAGGGTTCGCAAGCTCCCCTGCCCCCAGGTCCTAATTGGCTTGGGGGGCAGGGGAACAGCAGAGCCTCTGCGGGCTGGATCCGGCCCGTGGAGGCCCTTTTGCCCCATCCCTGTTTTAAAGCTTTAACGTTTTGGGCTCGTCTACACTGGCCCCTTTTCCGGAAGGGGCATGTAAATTTCATGAGTCGTAGTAGGGAAATGCGCGGGGGATTTAAATATCCCCCGCGGCATTTAAATAAAAATGTCCGCCGCTTTTTTCCGGCTTTTAAAAAAGCCGGAAAAGAGCGTCTACACTGGCCCCGATCCTCCGGAAAAAGCGCCCTTTTCCGGAGGCTCTTATTCCTACTTTGAATAAGAATATTCCTTTGAAGTAGGAATAAGAGCCTCCGGAAAAGGGCGCTTTTTCCGGAGGATCGGGGCCAGTGTAGACGCTCTTTTCCGGCTTTTTTAAAAGCCGGAAAAAAGCGGCGGACATTTTTATTTAAATGCCGCGGGGGATATTTAAATCCCCCGCGCATTTCCCTACTACGACTCATGAAATTTACATGCCCCTTCCGGAAAAGGGGCCAGTGTAGACGTAGCCTTTGAGTTTCAGCATCTGATGCTATCAAATAATTGCATGAGTCCCTCATAATTTCCAGAAACTTTGAAAACTTCAATTTATTAAACATTTTTAAAAAGCTTAATGTTACCCAATGATTTAAAAAAAAAACAAAAAGAACTCTTCAAAGCCTGGTGGTGGTGGTGATGGGGAACAATTGTCCTCTGCTTATTGGATCAGGTTACTGAACAGGGTTAGCTGGCCCCATACTCCTAAAGAGGCAGATCATGCAGCAAAAGGCTTATCTTACTAAAAACAATCAAATCTGATGTTTCAGAAAAATACTGAAGACATTAAAACTATGAACAAAGGCTTTCTTGGGAAAATATCACCTTTTCTTTGGCATAACTGATTTCATTCTGATATGATTCAGTGTAGTGTATTGTAAGCTGCTGCGCTGTCCATGTCAGGCTTCTTCTCCACTCTGGCACAATAAATGCAGAAGTGGGGACCCGCAAAAGTACCCCAAAACCTTATCTTTCCAGGCTTTGGTATAAAACTCCCCACCCCCATCTTAAAAACCTAGATTTTGGGGATAAAATCTGCTGCCATCACCCAGGTAACGATAAGAAAAATCAGGGGAGAGATCACTTGGGAAATCTCACCTCTAAAGTAAAAACCAGGACACACAAATTAACCAATGCCAGTTTAATAAAAAGAAAAGAGAGAGAACTTTTATTATCAACACAATATTCCTGTTGCAAGATAATGACTAGATGGAAAAGTCACAAATTAATATACTCATGGGAGAAACCCCACCATGGGCCAAGACTTAATTACAAAGGAGAGCAAAACCCATTTTAAAAAATGCACAGACCTCAGATCCCATTTCCCAAACCATAGAACAATAAAACCTAACAGGTTTATCTAAACTTTACCCTACTTACAGATAGTGAAAAATCTATTCTTGGAGGGAGACCTTCTGTCTCCCTCAGTAGCTGGAGAGAAACTGCCCAGGGACAAAGGAGGGAAAAACCCAAAAATTCCTTTGTCAGAGTTTGAAATTCCTACCTGCATTCCTATTGGCTGATTCTACTTGGCTTAGGTAAGGGACATCATTAACCTCTTAGTCCCCAGGCTGCTGGCTAACCCTCATGGTCATGACAGTCCTAAACCTTGAATTTAACGGTAACATAAAAATAGTTTAGAGAAGCAACTACTTTCAGTTTATTTGGATACTAAAACCATGCTGATATGCATCAATAAATTACCCTCTACTATGCAATTTATACACTGCAGACTTGTCTCCTGAATTGTTTTCTATGTTTTTTTCATAAGTATTTGCTAAACTTGGCATAGAACTGTTTTGTCCTGAAGTGCTCATAATCTGACACAAGTTCTCAATCTGTAGATTTTCTTGGTGCATAATCATATCTGTATCCAAAATGTAAAATGTGTGAAACCTTTGATCTCTTGGCAGGTTCAATTTAATGTGCAGCTTTCAAAAACTAATAGACATTCAGACATTCAGCCAGGATTGTCTACTGCAACTAGTCCTTCAACAAATAAAGAAAAGTGAGTATAGAAATTATTTTTAGGTCATTTTCAGAGACCTCAGCCCCAGCCTTTGTAAAATGATTGGCAATATTTTTCAAAACAATTTTTATGCCAAAATTTGTGAATACGTTCTGGATAAGTTCAAGTGCACATGCATAGACTACACTCACAAACTGAACTAGTAATTTTTGAGGCTGCTTTTGAAAATGTGGTCCTCTGTCAGTATCCTTTGAAGTAGCTTCTGTGTGTTGACAAGTTCTGAGTCATATTGCATTTCTAGTAAAATATTGTCCTTTTTGCAGATTCACACAACTCTCTTCCCTACCTTTAAAAAAAAAAAGTGTGCTTGACTGTCATAGTCATTACTTTAAAAAGGCACTCTAACTTTTTTTTATTCAACTCTCTTGGGGATACACTACAAAAACTAAACTTTGTTAGATATCTCTAATGACTTTAAAAATGGTTGTACTTGACCCCTTATTGGGACACTTCTGTTCTTCAGGGAAGTTCCATGATAGCTGTGATATTGTCATGTGGTAGTATTGGCTTAATGGGGCCAGCTACTCTGCACATAGCATAGATATAATAGTGACCTGAAAAGTAGTGAATGGAAGGTTGGTGCTGGAGAGTAAGAATAGTGGGTAGTTTTAGAAATCATACAATGAAAGAGGTAGACCCAGTGGGTTGAGTAAGTGAAACCATTAAGTTCTGGCTACACTGGGTGTTTTTAACTGCATTTAACCAGCTAATAACATGGTTAATCCCAATTACAGTGCTAGTTAGCAGTGTCTTAGACTGGCAAATTGTTTTCCTGAAACAAATTTTACAAGCTGTTCTTGTAATAACTTCCTCTGACTTTACCTTTTATCTTAGTTGGGAGCTGGAAAGGGTAATGCTGGCACTACTCTGTGCCCTCTGGGAATTCTTTCATCTTCTGAATCACTGACATATGGATGCTCAGATTTTCTAAGGGCAGGTCTACAGTACATGGAAAAGTCTAAGTTACGCAGTTTGAAAAACGTTAGTAGCGTAACTGAAGTCGACATAACTTAGTCTACTTACTGGAGTCTTGCACCTACATTCACCATAAGCTACATGGCTATGCCACTGCCTACTTAGCGCCACACATGGCAGGGAGCAAGGCCACCCCACCCCCAATCGAGCCTTTAGCCTGGTGGCTGGGAGAAGCATGGCCTGAACCAGGCACCTCTCCCCTGGCCAAAATGCACCCATGGCCCAGCCTCAGAGTACCCCTGCTGTGGCCTGGACTCCCTCCCCCCTCCCATTTGCAGCCCAGCCCTGGGTCCTGGTGCCTCTGTCCCCTGGCCATGCCCCAGAGACCCCACTCGCACTTTTGTACTCCACCCTACGCCTTTGTCCCAGCCCTACCCCAGAGCCTGCACCTCCAGCCAAAGCTCTTGCACTCCAACCCTCTGTTCCAGTCCTGAGCCCTTCAACCCTAGCCCCACCTCAGAATCTGTGCCCCCATTTGTAGCCTTCACTCTTGCACTGCAACCCTCTGCTCCTGGGTTGGATGATTGTCACACTGGTTACAGAAACAGTTGTTTGCTGCGTAGACAGGGTTTCAATATTGACTCTCTCTATAAAAGTTATAAAATAAAATGCAAACATTTTATGCAGGTCTACCCGAACTTAACACTGAATAATTGTCCATGTCGATTCCATGTTCATCTTGCATACAAAAATCAGAATCTTTGAACAACGGTGCCTAGTTGGAGCTGTGTCTGTCTGGCACTTCTGTTCTAGTGCCTTCTTCAGCTGAGGGCATAAAGAGCAGAATAGCCCCATCCATCCCACATGCTGTTTTGGACTTTTGCATTACCACCACTGTTATAGTGGATTCAGAGTACTTACGTTTGAACTCTCTTCACTGTGCAATGGATTAATTCCCTGCAAAAATAGACATACCCATTGTTTGTTCTGTTTAAGCAGAAGCCACTTATCTGACATTTGTGATAGCTGCTGGTCATTCTTGTTGAGACTGAAAAAATCTAGGGACAGTCGGCTAAAATTACTACTTGTGGAGCAGCCAGCCTGAGGTGCATTTCAGACCCTGAAAAACAGGTTTCAAGTTCCAATATATAGGACATTTCACTTCAGAGTCCCAGACTGTCAGCGCTTTTGAGGGCAAGAATGAGATTCTGAAGACCAGCCTCTAATAAGAGATTTGACACCAGGCCATCCACAACTGCCAGAAATCAGCGTGGCATCTAAAGCTGGTATTACTGGTATTGCTTTCTGTACTCTATGGTAAGGTAGATTGGTACACTAAACCAAACATGTTTCCAGGCATCTGTCTGTATCTGAATATCCTCCCAGGTCTCAGTCACCATTAATGCTCTCTTCACTGCCTTAATCTCATATGACTCTTTGGTGGCCATTTCATAAATCCAGGTGGGTCAGTGAACTTCAGTCTCACCCCTTCCTACCTTGTTATATTATTTCATTGAGTTTCTAAACATCGGGCCTTAGCTTTGAAATCAGATGCCAAATTGGCCAAAGCATTGGTTAGTTAGTGAGCTAAGACTACTCATTACCATTTTTCAGATGGGGTGCCATTGGCCAGTTATTTAGAATGAATCCATGTGACAGATGCTTAAAAAAGTTACTTAGCTGGCAGTAACTGTGGGTTCTTATGTTTTTGTCTTTAAGTGGCTCCCATAAGCACCCTCCATTCCTGTTTCCTTGGAATCTCCTCTGAGATTTTAGATTACTGAAAAACCCGAATTATTGTGGCTATCCTTGTATCTAAGGGCATAGAAGCACATGCAGAGATACAGACAGAAGTAATCACTACATTATTAGCGTTTCAGCACTTGCATTGACCATAGCATAAAGAGTACAAGTATTATAGATACTTTTTAGGTTGCTGATGCTTTGCTCAGTCTTAACCTCTTTGAAGGGCTGTATGTAAGCGAAAAGTGTGTATTTTAGGTCCTGAAGCTTTTTTGCCTTGAAAACCAAATTTACAAAATTGGCTAAACAAAAATCAAGTATTAAGTTTTCCTGTTACAAGTATGATTCTATTTTCTTTTGGTTAGTGGTGAGAATTTGGGATTGGAATTGAAGTATTTAAAGAAACGAGAAGACAGCATTCCTTTACGAGGTCTCAGCCAAAATACATTTAACAACTCAGGTAGGAATGGTAGCAGTTTCATGAAAGAATTGATTTATTTATATTTCAAAATGTTTTTAGTTCTGTCCCTAGAAGTTAATATTGCTTTCCCCTATTTGCAGAGTATCCGAAATCCTCCACGTCAACGAAAACATTAACTTCATCAAAACCCGGAGTACCATCTGCAGCCTCTGCTTACTTCCCTGGATTACAAACAACATAATCATTAGACGAAATCTCTTTTTTAACTAATTATCAAGGATTTTGGAAGACTCTTAATTAGATTCTAAAGACCCTTATCACACTTTGACATTTTAAAGTCAAAATGTTATAGTAATCTGGTAAAATGTTAACTTTAGCACACGTTTGACTAATCTTTGGCTTTTGTGAAGAAAAGCAAATTGATTTAAATAGATTTCAGGATACAGTTCCAGTCAGAAAAATAAAATAACTAATTTAGTTACATGAAAATATTATGCTACAAAATGATTGTTTAGAAATGCTCATTTCTAAACAGAGGCAAAGCGTTTAAAAAGGTTTATAAATGGTTATTGAGCAATAAAACCTGCAGAGAGGAGTTTGTGTAAAAAATCTATTAATCATTCTCCTTCCCAAAAATCCTCAAACTAATGATGTTGCTAATGGTTCCATCATTATGCTGAAACTGAGTTGTGCTTGGGGCTTCTCCTTGAAAATATCTTGTCACTTCAGGACATCAGTAATGGAAAATGCCTAACACCCTCAGTAATGGGAGTTGTAGGACCTAGGAAACTGCCCAGCTTCTTTTCCCCAAGTAATTCCTTCATCTGTTTGAATCTGATTTTGGCTTCCATACTGAAAGAGACATGTTTGCATAGCATTTTGAATTAAATTACTCCTAATATTACACTAGTATCCTAGCACAAGTCAGACCCCAGGCCAGCTAATACCAGGGGATGCATGGTATTTTCCTTGTACAGGATTTTGGTCATATGGATTTTCATTGTTTGCAGATCCACTAGCCTCACTCCACATATGGCAAAATATACATGCTGTTGTCATCTCTGGAGACATTTCTGTAACATTCACAGGATGGGCAGTGTCTTTCACTGGCTTGTCTATTGAGTTGACCTACCACCTGTGAAACTCTGTTTCCTGTCAGCGTGTGCCTATACTGCAATCACAGCGTGATTTGTAGTCCAAGTAGAAATACCTGATCTAGCAATAATGTGGCTAGCTCAAAAAACAAGAGCACTGAAACTATTTCATTGTGGACTAGCTTCTCAAGTAATTACTCAGGATTCTGGGCAGGCTTGTCCTGAAGCACCTGATGCTGCAGCTTCACTGCTCTGGTACCCCAACTGGCTAAAGCTAATTTGAGTAAGTGTACTTGAGCTGTAATTGAATACATGTCTGTATGGAATTGCGAGAATTAAAGGATCTCTGAAGAGTGAGCATTTAGCCTAAGTTCTAAGCCACAAGCCAAATTCTTAAACTTGTGAAGTATATTACATTTTGTAAATTTAAGAACTTAAGAGCCACTCATGTTTCTAATATACACACCCTAGCTAAGTTTGCAGGACACTTATTTAATGTAGATTTAGTGTGTTTTCTCTTTAGCTTGGAAATTGGTTTCTTAACTACTTTTTTACATATGTGACTATATTTGAGTGCAGATTTATATTTTTGGAGCACTAGTCAAACATTTAATTAGCTGTTTAAAAGGAGATCCTAAATGTTTCAGTGAAAACACAAAATTGAGTTAGACTAAAAATTTCACATCTTGTCACAGCCCTTGGTTTTTTGTCTCTCCATAGCAATGATTCCATGTACAATAGTCTAGTAATTGTAAAAAGCATTAGAGTAGTTAGAAATTTTATTTTAGTACTGTTTATCAAAAATGCCTTATGTTGATGAGGGGTTGTGCAGAACATATCAAGTAAATTCAACTGTACTTAGGTTTGGGTACACTTTAATATTTGGGTTCACTGGTAGAATCATGCGACAGTCTGTCTGTTCTTCCACTGTGTCCCAATGAGGAGAGGAAACCAGTTACCTAGACTTGATCAGCAAATATTTTTCTGCTGATTATAGGCACCATACTCTAATTTCAAACTAGATACAATTTAAAATGACTATATAATTGAACAATTTCCAAGAATGACTCAATTTATGTGCTCCTAGCTCTCAATTGTGTATCAATCTAGTCTTTCCCTTACATAGGCATGTCTGTGTGGCTAATCACTGTAATCTTGGTACATTACTGTCAACATAAGTGTTTATTGAATGTTGTGGAGTGTAATATTTGTATATTTGTTTATAGTGTGTGTGTGTGTGTGTATATATAATTTTACATCGTGTAAATGTTAATAAAATGGTTTCAACAAAGATATTTATGCTCAACTAAAGTGTCCTAGAGTTAAGTGAAAATATATGGAGGAGAGTGAAGTTTCTTGCAATCAAAGGTAGCAGTACAGAAGATGAGGGTAGGCAAGAGCCCATGCACAAGGGGGAGAGGGAAGAGGCAGGAGCTAATGGGTGGGGAGCTAGCTTTTAAGCCATCTCTTGCAGGCTAGTACTGGAGCTGCTTCCTTCCTCCTTGCTTCCCCCCC